TCCAAAGCGTCCTATTGAGATTCCCTTGCTAGACTTCTACCTCAACCTTTTCCGAATGTATGGAGCAGCTTAAGCGATTTTAGCACTTCGAGTAGACGTAAATAGAGGCAGTTGTCGAAGATGCTAATTATTTCGCCGACTCTCATTCAACTTCAACGACTAAAAATTCACAAAACTATATCCTCAACCAAAGCTTTTTTGATATTCTTATACTACGAGAAGTTTCCTATCAGATGATATATAACTTGCTTGCAAAACGTTTCACTTTTCGAACAAATTTTTCAATTGAAAAAAACCGCCATTACTAGCCACCAACATAAAAGCGGGACGCTGCGTGGTGCACTGCAGATGGATTATATGAGTGCTCGTGCAGGCATAGGCTAGCCGAGGCGGTCGATTGGGCATTATGGGGAACTCGTCCGAAATTGCTCTTTGAGTCATTGAAAACGAAAGCTTTTCTTCGCAGGATTTTGACCGTTTCACTTCGTTTTTTCGCCATTTCCCCCCCCCCCCATATAGCGCCCCGCTAGCATTTTAGGCCGATACCACATTATCGTGGCAACTGTCTGCAAACACCTACCAATAAATTTACACGAGACATACCGCTGTTATCAACACAGTGCAAAATCAGGCACTGCGTTGTCGTATCGTCATCACTTCGTTGTGGCTTTGTCACATCACCATGAACATAGAAAAGGCTAGCGCTCTCCTAAACCATTGCATATCCTGGATTTATCCTTAAGTTTTTGAAACTCTCAAAAAAACCCAACCTCAACCTCATGCTCAAGAATGTCGCTTTCCTCATTCTCAGAGGGAGGTGGGAGATTTTTCGAGACGTAACCTGGAAGGATGTCGCTATCATATGAGCGCCAATAACCAGTAGTAGAGCAAAATCGCAGCAGAATAAAGATAAATTTAAAAAAATCATAGAAGGATGGTGGCTTAAGGAGGTAAAAATTAGAACAAAGGTAACAGAATAGAATGGAATTACTGTAATGACAACAAATTGCTCCCTATCAAATAAACAAAAGAAAAACCTTGTCAAACCTATTTAATGATCCCTCTAGACAAGACTGTCAGACAAGAATTTGTATTGAGAGAACCAAGGTAACTTGGTGGAGTCATGGGGCCTGGGTATGTTACAATATGCCGCGCTAGTCAGCGTGGCGGGCGATGTCACGCCCCAAGGAAGGACGAGTTGTCCTGTATAACAGTTCAAATTTGTTTTAATATGGTCAGTGGTTTTAACGCAGCACTTCACGCAATATCCCACCAAAAGCACAGTCGCCACTTCCGGGATATTGGATAAGGGTATGTGTGACTAGTATCGTCGAACATCGAGGCATGTCCGCAGTGTGCAACAACGCGATCGCATGGTACAGCATCTTGTGATGTGTGAAATGGTGGTGTAGGTACGACCCCCCCTCCTTTCCCCAATACCTTCTTACCAATTCCCACATTTTCCATTCACCCAAGAATTTTCCGTGGAGCGGGGAGGGGAGGGTATATATACACATTAAACGGGAAAAAACTGAATAAAAGTGAACGACCGGAAAAAATTTTTTCCCAACAGCAAATTACCCATGAAGGACATTCATTAAGGCCGTTTCAAAGTTCAGCTCGGAAACACAAAGTGTACCATTCTAGACAATACATGATCAGCACAAGCAGCGAATCACTTCATACAGCACAAATACTCCAGAACACGCATACTCCGTATCGCGGCGCAACGATGGGGCGTGTCAGAGGGCGCAGATTTCGGCGCAGCTGCAACTGCATTTCGTATCGACAGTCGCCGCTTCTGGCCAACTGCTGATAGAAAACGCAGCTGTCGCCGAGCTCAGATCAATGTCTTCAGACACGTGCCCTGTAGAACCGCTGCGGTACAAAAATTACGCCGTGTTAACGCTCAAAGTTCCCAAAGGAGTGTGAAAATCCACGAAAGCTACCTTGACAGCAGAGTCATATGTGTATCGTCAGTTTCACGGCATCGCGCGCCAACTAATAAAGGTTTTTCCTAGCTAGTTGACTTGACACAACGCAGCTCTGCCACGTTTGCCCAATGGGTCCTGGTGCGAACGACCCTATTTGCAACGCCTTCTTTGCCACGCACGCTGCGACACAGTTCAACGATATTCACCACGAAAAATCCACAGTAACGATATACGTATTATGGAGCGTGGCCGTAAGCTTATATCCCTTAACGCAACTCCAACTTATATCCCTTAACGCAACCTATCGTTCGCTGGGATCGGAACCGTGTCTCATCCACGACGATTTGTTGATACCGAGTCAATCGATCACTATCTTTTCATTTCACGGATTCTTCGTTCTCTTACAACGCTGGGTATGAGCGCGCCCAAGCTGACCACACTACTGAAGCTCTTAACGCATTCTTTCTCAAAGGTATTCAGTTATGAGCAAAATATTCGTCTTTAGGCCTCCACTCAAAGACACATTTCGCAAATATAAGGGAAGCAGAACCCCTTTAGTATGTACGCCGAGCAGGCCCACATCCCATCAAACCCCCGCTTCAAAGTTCACCGGAAAGGCGCTAGGGGCTCGTAACGGAACTCTGGACCTGTCTACTTCGGTCTGGCCCCGCCCACAATGTAAAGATACGCCCCAACAATGCACGGTCTACGGACTTCTTCCCAGAGATTACCAGCAAATTACTTGAAGTAACCTTTAATGACGTCAATTTTCATGTCTTCTCTGTACTCTCATTCTCTCTCCTCTGTGTTCTGTGATCACCATACCTCGCACATTACTAACTCACTCAGACGGAATTCATACTCTCAGTTCACAACATGTTTATTGTTTTGATAGCGCTGTACTCTAGCTGCCTGCAAACAGGGTTTCGCAACGGGACCTCCTCACAAGTTCAAGTGTCACGGCCATTACTCCCAGAACCATATGGAGACTGAAAGACTAGCGGGCGAAGGTGTGCGCTGCACGTCTCTATTCACCACAATCTCGTCCAATCTTATCAGGCTTTATCCGGAAGACCACTCAAACGGGCTCATTTCCTATATACTTCCCTAGTAAACAACTGGGATCTACAAGTTTCCAACCTTATTTCCACTCCCCGTCGTGTTACCGCGGGATGTGCCTCAAAATGCGCCACAAGCTCATAAATCTGCACCACGGCAGCACTATTCAGGGCACGTCGCTAGGGAATGTTCTACCTTGATAATTTTTCCAGTTTTTCCTGTTTCAAGTGAGCTATATAACTGCTCGCTTAAAACCAGTTTTTAAGGAAAAAGTGGAAGAAGTTCTGCACAGAAACTGGAGAAGATGAGAGGAGTAAGGAAAATTCAGGGGATTTTAGGTAGGAGGATGGGAGAGGGGGGTCGGACCACATGAGAAACTTCGAGGGTGAATCGTATTTTGCAAAAATCTCCCACAGCGGCAACG